ACTATCGATTAGAGAAATGCAAATCAAAACAACTCTGAGGTACCACATCCCACCTACCAGATTGGCCAACATGATAAAACAGGAAAATGATAAACGCTGGAGAAGATGTGGGAAAATTGGAACACCAATGCATTGTTGGTGGGGTTATGAACTGATCCAACCATTCTGGAGAATAATTTGGAACTATGCCGAAAGGGCTTTAAAAATGTGCATACCACTTCTAGGTCTATCTCCCAAAAAGATCATAGACATGGGAAAAGGACCCACATGTACAAAAATATTTATAACAGCTCTTTTTTGTGGTGGCAAAGAATTGGAAATTGAGAGGATGACCATCCATTGGGGAATGGCTGAGCAAGCTGTGGTGTATGAATATAATAGAATACTATTGTGCTATAAGAAATGATGAGCAGGCAGATCTCAGATAAAAAACTGGAAAGACTTGAACTGATGCTGAGTGACATGAGCAGAACCAGGAGAACATTGCCCACAAAAACAGTCACGTTGTTCGATGACTAACTTTGACTGATTCATGTCTTCTTAGCAATGCAAGCATCCAAGATAACTCCAAAGGACTCATGATGGAAAATGCTGTCCAACTCCAGAAAAAGAACTACGGAGTCTGAATGCAGATTGAAGCATATTGTTTGCTTTCTCCCACTCTCTCTTTTTCTTTATTTCTTCTTTCTTATGATTTCCCCATTCATTCTAATTCTTCTTTGCAACATGACTAATGTGAAAATGGGTTCAATATGAATGGATATGCAGAGCCTATATCAAACTGCATGCCATCTTGGGTGGGGGAGGGGAGAAATGGGGAGAAAATTTGGAACTTAAAATCTTATGGAAGTGAATGCTGAAAACTAAATATAAATAATTTTTTTTAAAAAAAGAAATAAAAGGTTAAAAGAATAAAGATGGGGGAGAAGATAAGGGAGGAATTTTTAGAGGGGACCCTACTTGCATCAGATTTGGGTTAAAAAGAGAACAATATATACATTTAGAAGGGAATAAAAGTCTTCTAAACTTATAAAGAAATAAGAGGGTAAGGGAAAAGTATAAGGGAAGGGGGTATATAAGGGTCTTTAGATTAATGGGAAAGAGATAGGATAAGGGAGGAATCCTTGGATGGGGGATAGATTAAGTAAGGGCAAGGTAGTGGGTAAAAGTAAAGCAGAGGAGTTGGGAGGAATAAGAAAAGACACACACAAATATAAAATAAAGATCAGGAGTAGAGTCTATTGGGGGAAAAAAACAGGGTTAATAATCATGATCTCAGGCAAAGTTAAACAGATCTAAGAAAAAGAGAAAAATGGAGAAACAGCACTATATGTCAGCTATATTAATCAATATTGTTTTAGACTCTTTAAAATAACTAGACAGTATAAGGTTGGAATATTGCTGTAGTGTAGGAAATGGGTTGGTGGATTTAGAAAAATATGGAAAGACCTGGATGTATGAAGGAAGATGTTAGCCACCTTCAGAGAAACAGAGGACAAACAAGTATTGTACTGTCTCACACAAATGAATATGAATGTATATGTATATATATGTGTATGATTATAGATCTCTATGTATATAAGTATACATAAGTGTATGCATATATGTGTATGTTTGTGTGTATGTATATGTGTATATCTATGAATGTGTACATATACATATACACATACATATATACACAACTGTAGCCTTTTTGCGGAAGAGGAGGAGGGAAAGGGGGGGAAAGAAGAAAGTTAAAAAGTGCACAGCAGAAAACAAAAGAAAATCTACAATGAAGCAAAGAAAAGAGACGACTTAGAACACGTGGTATTTTTTTATACAGGCTTTCTTGAAATGGAAATTTATTGCTTTATATTTTGAATCCTCTCCTATGTTCTGCTGTGCATATGACAATGTTTTTTTTTCTTTTCTTACTTTGTATATAAGTTTTAATATTTAAGTTTGTTTCTTCTTTTCTTATTTTGTATTTAAGTTCAAAATTTTAAAATTTGCAAAATAAAGAATAAAATAAATGCTTTTTAGGGGTAGATAGTTGGCTCAGTGAATAGAGCACCCACTCTGGAGTCTGGAGGACCAGAGCGCAAAACTAGCCTCAGACATTTATTAGCTATGTGACCCTTGACAAGTCACCCCATTGCCTCCCAAAATTAATTAATTAAATGTTTATTGATTCACTCTAGACTCATAAAGAGAGAGAAGGGGAAGGGAAGAAGGGAAGGAGAAAGAGAGCATTTACTAGTTGTGTGACCCTGAACAAGTCACTTAACCCCATTACCTAGCCAAAAAAAAAAAAGAGACAGAGACAGAGAGAGAGCAATTTATTAACCGCTTACTACTATATGCCAGACACTGTGGTAAGTACACAGAATAGAAAAGCAAACAGGTTGATCCCTACTTTCAAAGATCTTACATTCTAATGGAGAAAGACAATGAGTGATCTAGAAGTGAAGTGAGCAGTATGGCTAAAGTCTCTCATGATAAAGAACTTCTGGACTAATTCTATGATTGCACGTCCCTGCCTAGAATTGCTATGACCTAGAATAGCTCATGATTAAGCTCTACCAATATGATAAAAATGGCCACCAATTAATTTAACCAACCAACATTAGTTTGCAGATAACAAAATTCATTTGGAGGAACAAAAAACCTAGACTATCAAAGGAAATAATGAAACAATTAAGTGAAGAGAGAAGAGCACACCCAGAACAAACAAAGAAAACAAAACCGTACTGGTTAAAAAACAGAAAAATAAATCCATGAAATAGACTAAAGGAAAACTCAGAAATCATTGAACTCAATAATTCAGTGTTCAATAAACCCCAAAACATAAATTGCCTAAGAAATAACTCCTTCTTTGCTAAGAACTGTTGGGAAAACTGGAAAGCAGTCTGGCAGAAATCAGGCTCAGGCTAACATGTTATACCATATTTCACATTAGATTCAAAAGGGATAGGTGACCTGCATATTAATGATACTTTTTAAAAATATGGGACAAAAGCAGACCATATTACATTTCATAGGTAAGGGTAGGGATTGACTTCTTAAACAAGGGATTAAAAAAAAATTTATAAAAGATAAAATAGATAATTTCGATTTCATAAAATTAAAAAACTTTTGTACAAACAAAATTAATGAATTTTGGATAAGATGGGAAGCAGCCTACTGGGAAAAAATCCCTGTATCAAATAACATTCATAAGAGTTTGAATATACACACAAACACACACATAACTGAAACATATAAGGTCAAAGGCCATTCCCAAATAAATGTCATATAAGAGCATAAACAGTTTTCAAAAGTACTGAAGACTATTAACAACCTTATGAAAGAAATAATGCTCCAAAGAACTAATTATAAGGGAAATGCATGTTAAAACAGCTCTGAGATTTCACCTCACACCAGCAAACTGGCAAAAGTGACAAGAAAACAGAAATAGTCCGTGTTGGAGGGGTTGTCAAAAGACAGGTACATCCAAACACATTTTTGGTGGAGCTGTGAACTGATACAACCATTATGGAAAGCAGCTTGTAATAACACAAATAAGTTGACTCAAACGCCCATATCATTTGACCTAGAGATTCTGCTGCTAAGCATACACCACGTAGAGGTCACAAACAAAAAGAAAGGCTCCATCTACACCAAAAAATTATAGCAACATTTTGTGCACTAGAAAAAAAGAGGATGCCCATTGACTGGGAAATGGTTAAATAAATTATGGTACGTGAATGGAATGGACTATTACTGTGATGTAAGAAATAACAAACATGATGAATACCAAAAAAGCATGGACTTACATAAATTGGTGCAAAAGGAAGTGAAGCCAGAAAAACAAGGTACATAATGAAGACAACAATGCAAATGGAAAGAACAATAAAAGTGAATGTTGTAAGATTATGAGAAAGCTTGGCCTCAAAGAAGAGTTCTCAGACAACAGCTGACCTCTACTCAGAAATGAGGTCCACGAGCATGGAATACTTCACGTAACATCCAATTTTTTATGTATTGATTGGTTTTACTAATCTTTTTTTTCTCTTTCCCTTTTCAAAAAAAGGTGGTTCTCTAGCCATCTCCAGTTGTTCTGATCTATATCTTGCTACTGGGCCCAGATGGCTCCAGAGGGGAAAGGAGAGCTGGTGACTGCAAAGTCCTCCCTCGATGTAATCCAATTCACTTACAAGTCATGGCTTCACTTATCTGATGTCATGGTTCTTTTCAAAAACGAAGGACAAACAAAGGTTCTCTGGGTGAGGAGAGAAGGAGGGATATAGGAAGGAAAGCAGACTACACAAAAACAAAAGACACCTCCCAAAAAAATCTATATAGAAAAAAGAATGTAAGTTCTATGAGAGGAGGACATTTGGAATTGAATCTCTAGCACTTAGCATGACACTTGGCACACAGTGTTTAATAAATGTTTCTCTATACATTCACTTTCCTTCCCCATTATATTCTTTATTTATCCCATCTTATATCATATTATGTCATATCATAGATCAAGAACTACTAGGAACCACCAAGGCCACGTAACCCAATCCTCTTATTTTACAGAAAAGGAAACTGAGATACAGGGCTTTGAAGTGACTTTCCTAAGGTCATACAAGTATTGAGTAATGGAGGTGGGATTTGAACCAAGGTCTTCTAACTCCAGAACCAGTGTTCTTTTCAATAATGTCTCTCTTGTTCCATCTAAAAAACTTTTCCTCATTTTTTTCTCTCTCCATTAGCATTCTCCCTGATACACTATCTTACTTTTCAAGCTAGAAAATCCCTCTCTTCCTCTCCTCTTTTCTTTCTAACTTCTTTGCACCTCCTCTATCATTCCTTACATTCCTGTGTCATCTCCTCCTCTCCTGATTTTTTCCACTCCTTTAATTGGCATACAATTGTGCAATAAATAAAGAGCTCTGATGTTTATAGGAACTATAAATACAGGGAATGATTTACTCGCAGCAAGACATTCAGAAGATTTCTATTTTTCTCGCTACTTTTGAGGTAGAAAGATGAAGCAAGCTAAGTTTTCTATGGAAACTGTTGGCAAGGTAAGTAGATAGCTTATTTCTAGAAATGTATTCTCATAGTTCAGTTTAATAGATAAAGTGGACAGAGAAGTGTGTTGTTTACTTAACTGAAAAACTTTATCACATAAAATCATATTATGTTACTTGTACATGCAAGAATGACTTATTTATGCATTGATGTATTCCTGATCATTTTTTGTGAGTCAAATTATTATAAAATATGCATTTTATTGCCATAAAAGCTCTTGCTATTTAGGAGAACCCTTTGGTAAATTCTTTGAATAATGCTTTTAAATCTAATCATGGCTAATTTGTATTGATATCACGAGATACTACCCAGAGAGCTAGGACTGCAATTAGAAAAACCTGGGTACAAGCCCTCCCATAATACTAGTGGGGGATCCAAGGACAATCACTTCATTTCTCAGGGCTTCGGGCAAGGTAGAGTAGGAGTGTTGGGTTTAGAATCAGAGGGCCCTGGGGTCAAATCCTGGCTCAGTCACTTACTACCTTCAGGACTTTGGGCCTCACTTTCCTCATCTGTAAAATGAAAAGTTTGGATTAGGTGACATCTAAAGGTCCCTTCCAGTTCTAAATCTATAGCAGGAAAGGTGCTGATCAGCATTGGTGGAAGGAATTTCAACACTGGGAATTGCTTACAGTGATAAAATCACAGGTCCACCCATTCTCACCAAACTTTCCCAGATATTATTATTTCAAGGGGTCACTAAGACATTTATTAGGCATAAAAAAGTTCGGTAATTATAAGTTTGGGAATGACCTTTACTGTTACAAGAAAATGAGACCCTAAGGGAAAAAGGATCAGAAACGGTCCCACCCTTGAACAAAAGGAAGGGAATATAAAATTCTGAGCATTTTTAGGGGATTACTTGTCCAACTGAAAGACAACAATTATATTTTTATGATTGTAATAGGGTGATGAATTCCCATCTTCTCAATTTTGGAATGGCATGAGAACTAGCAATCATCCTATAAAAGTTTAGACTCCCAATTCTCAATTCTGCTCCCTTGAACACTTAGTGAAAGAAACAATTCACATTCTTATAGCACATTAGAATTGACAAACACATTTCTGCACACATTATTTCTTTGAGGCTCTCAACTATCCTGTTGTGAGGCAGGGGAACAGGGATTAGTATTCCCATTTCCCAGAAGAACTGAGCCTGAGAGAGGTGAGTGACTTGTTCAAGGTAATCTAATTTACAAATGGTAGAGGCAGGGTGTGAAATCAGGGCTTCAGATTCCACACCTCTTACTCTTTCCAATGCACAAAAATTGTGGAAATGTATGGAGGACCCAACTGATAAACCAGCACCCTGCACAAAATCCTTCCATCAGCAAGTGTGGAAAGGAATCTATGCTCTAAATCACATACCTCGGCTACTTTCAACTGTACAATGGATAGAGTGATGGACCTGGAGTCAGAAAGACCTGAATTCAAATCATGGTAGCCTCTGCCTGCCTCAGTTTCCTCAGGTGTAAAATGAGGATAATAATAGCACCTACCTCCTAGGGTTGTTGTGAGGATCAAATGAGAGAATATTTGTAAAGCATCTGGTACAGTACTTCATACATAGTAGGCACTTCACAACTTCCTGTTTCCTTCCTTCACATCTTTATTTTTCTATTTGTCCAAAATATGCAGGTTAGAAAACCATCCTCAGTTTGAAAAGATACCAAGAGAGAGAGTGCCAGCATGCCTTTAGTAAAGGGGATATCAAACATAATTCCAGCTTATATCAGAATCTCATTCTATTTTATTAATTTTACAGGTTATCACATGCAGGGCAGCCATTGCCTGGACGATTAATGCTCCCTTGTGTATTGAGGAGGTGGGAGTTGATCCACCAAAGGCTGGAGAGGTTCGAATTAAGGTAAAGTTGTTATTTATGATTATCTCCTAATGATTAAGAACTCAATGGGAATCCCTGTCTCAGGAAATGAGGACTTAGAGGTTTTAGTCTTGTGTATGTATGTTTTCCCATCATTCAAGAGTTCATGTCTTCTCTCTTTAGATTGCCTCCCTTGAGGTCCTCTTTCTGTAACCAACTGATGTAAGTTCTTTATCATTAAACAGTGTTGGGGTCAGCATTCTTTCAGCCAGGCAGGAGTCACACCTCCCACCATATGCATAGCATGAAGTCCAGGGCCATCTTCCAGGGCACTACCAAAAGAGATATTGTGTGCAATTCAATCCAAATTGAGAAATGTTATTAAGCACCTCTATGTGCAAAGCACTAGAGAACATAAAAAGACATTTAAAAATAGAAAAGTCTCTGCCCTGAAGGAGCTTTCACATAACTGGGAAGATACAACATGTATACAGATAAGTAAAAGACATGGGACCCCAACAACCATGGAGGTGAGGAAAAGCTTCCTGTAGAAGGTGACACATGAACTGAACCTTGGAGGAAATGGAAAGTCTGAAAAGCTAGGGCAGTGACAGATAGTAAAGAGCTCCAAATCTGATGTCTTTATTCTCTGAAAAAAAAATCTCTTCAACTTTATTGTAAAACCTTGAGCTCTACCATGATCATCATCATTAGCTACTGTTCTTTGGGAGAAAAAACAGCAACAATGCAAAAATGTAAAAAATGGATCTCAAAAACTATTAGATTGGTACTCTCAAAGACACGTATCTACTTACTTTACAATTAACAGCTGCTTCATTAAAAGTTATTCTGAGATGAGGTCCATAAGCTTCACCAGACTGCCAAAAGTGGGGTTTATGATTCTAAAAAGGTTAAGAAGACCTGATCTACAGGGTTTGGACAATAATTAATCATTATTAAGTCATTAAAAGAGATTTTGGGGCCAATTTCTCAGAAATGTAATATAAATTCTTCTTCCTGGTACACTTCAGCATATGAACCTGAGAAATCATCCATGTGGGTTCTCCCTCCAAACGTAGCAATTATAATCCATCTGTGTCTTCTTGTCCTATGCAATCTTGCCTGTCTTCTCCCATAAATCCTCCACCAACTTCATGAAGACCCAATCTTGGATTACTTCCACTATCCTCTACCTCAGCTTCTATTCACGTGCTGCTAAATGGTGCCGTAGAAATGATAAAACTGCTCACTGGGTGCGCCACAAATATGTGCTAGATAATCTCAACTGAGTGCTCACTACAGAAAGGCAATCCTCCTTAATTCACTCTACCCACCACAATGACTATTCCAAACCATTTCATGCCTCCTCAAAACTTTGTCTTCTCCCACTATCTTTTCCTTCATCCTCGTCTCTCCTGAAGTAACCCTTCTCTCACCAAGTCAAACTTCCATACATATGCCCTTAACCCCATTGCACCCCTCTTCTCCAGCAGATTGCCCCCTCTGTCATCCTCATTCTTTCACTAATCATCAGTCGCTCCCCAACTGCTGCCTACAAACATGCCTGCATTTCCCTTATTCTTAAAAAAAAAAAACCTCACTTGATCCTATTAATCCTATATCTTTCCTCCCTCTTATAAATCCTCCCTTATGAATTCCTAGGGAAAAGTCATATACAGTCCCATTATAGTAGCCATAATCGTTCAGTATCAGTTTAGAAGAAGGTCTCTATTGGAATGCCCAGGTTTGACCAATGACTTGAATGAAGGTATAAACAGCATACTTATCAGATTTTCAGATGACACAACAATAGGAGTGATACTTAACACACTGAGTGACAGAATGAAAATGCTAAGAGATCCTGATAAACTAGAACACTGAGCTTCAATCCCCAATTTTTTAATTTAATAGGTATAAATGTAAAGACCTACAGGTGAGTTCAAAAAATCAATTTCAGAAATACAAGATGGAGTTAACAAAGCTAGAAAGTAATTTATATGAAAAAGACCTGGGGGTTTCAATGGACCTCAAGCTCAATATGATTCAAACAATGTGATATGGCAGCTGAAAAAATCTAATTCAATCTTAGGCTGCAATAAGAGTCAGAATGTCCATAATCATGGAAATGAAATAAGAGTACCCTGCCCTGGTCTGGTCATGTTTGGAATAACGTTCAATTTTGGGCTGGCAAAATTCAGGAATGGCACCGATAACTTGAACAGCAACAGGGCAGGAGAATAGCATGGTAAAAGCCCTTGAGTTCATGTCATGTGAGGATCAGTGGAAGGAATTGGGGATATTTAGCTTGGAGAAGAAAAGATTGTGGGTTTTGGGGGGGGGTAATGGCAGAATAGCTGATTTCAGGTATTTGAAGGTACTTCCCATGAAAGAGAAATTAGACTCATTCTGTTTGCTGTTCAATTGTATGCTCTTGGGGCAGCTAGATGGCGCAGTGGATAGAGCACCAGCCCTGGATTTAGGAGGACCTGAGTTCAAATCCGGCCTCAGACACATAATACTTCCTAGCTGTGTGACTCTGGGCAAGTCACTTAACTCCAATTGCCTCACTAAAAAAAAAAATTGTATGCTCTGGCTGACTACAAAAGGTAAACATGTTCATAGGGTCCCATGAGCTATACTTTTAGCCTTGTACTGTCAGTCATCCAACAAGTATTTATTAAGCACCTAGCATGAGTCAGGCAGGGCAGCTAGATGGTGCAATGAATAAATTGCCAGACCTGGAGTCAGGAAGACCTGAGTTCAAGTCAGATCTCAGACACTTACTAGTTGTATGACCTTGGGCAAATCACTTAACCCTGTTTGCCTCCTGTTTTCTCATCTGTAAAATGAGCTGGAGAAGAAAATGGCAAACTGTTCTGATGCAGTTTGGGGTTGCTGAGAACCCTGAAATGTCAGGGTACAAGATGGATTCACCTGGAACAAATTCACACCCTCAAACCATCTTCCAGTCAAGTGGCAAATTTATTGTAAGGCCAATAGTACTGGGAAAGGGTTTCTAGTGAACCTATAGCCTAATGGGAGTGACAATGATGCTTATATACAAAAAAGGACAATGAAATGAATCTGGATGGGATTAAGAAGTGGCGGTATATGCAAATAGTCTGGAGTGGTCCAAGTGAGATAGTGAAAGGAATGTCAAGTAAGCTAATGAGGTAATCTAGGTGGGCTGGGCAGGGCCAGTTGCCTTGAGTGAGGCTCCAGTGGTCTGGACTGCTGAAATATATGGGGAAATTCTGTGACTAGGCTGCTTTCAAAGACATGGTCTTTTCCTTTTAGTGCTCCAGGTCCCATCACTCCATCATTTTTAGTCTTGACTAGAGAAGAGCTTCAGGGGTTCAGGCAATTCCCCATATGGGCCACCAAAGTGTTATGGTTTGGGGTTGCTGGGAACCCCAAAATGTCAGGGTACAGGGCAGCATCTGCCTGGAATGAATTCACCCACTCAAACCGTCTTCCAGTCAAGTAACAAGGTTTATTGTAACAGCAATAGTAGCAGGCAGGTTCACTAAGAGCCCTATTTCAGGGTTCCCAGCAACCCCAAACCATATCAGCTCCAGTACTGTTGCCAAGAAAATCCAATGGGGTCATGAAGAGTCAGACACGATTCAATAACAACAACACTGGGTGGAGTGTGTAACCTGTTTTATCAGCCATACTGTGCATTAGGTTAGATCTGTCTGATCAAGCTAAGAGTGTCAACCAATAGACTGGAGAAAATACAGGAAATTCACCACAACCAGAACAGAATATGTGGAATTTTCAAATGCAGTTTTGTTGGTACTCTTTAGAACTATGTGCTTTCAGCAACTGGCAACATGGCTAAACATACCAAGAAGGTCGGAATTGTTGGTAAATAGGGAACACATTATGGTGCATCCCTCAGAAAAATGGTGAAGAAAATTGAAATTAGCCAGCATGCCAAGTATACCTGCTCCTTCTGTGGCAAGACCAAAATGAAGAGACGGACTGTAGGTATTTGACATTGTGGATCCTGTATGAAGAAAGTAGCTGTGCTGCATGGACCTACAATACCACCTCTGCAGTCACAGTCAAATCTGCCACCAGAAGACTGAAGGAATTGAAAAACCTGTAAAATCTGTAGCCCACAGTCCAACCATAAATGGGTTAATTTATGGGATTTTAAAAAAAAAAACTATGTGCTTTTCCAGCCTTCCTTGATCTTACCTTAACCAAGACTGAAAACAATTATCTGAGAATAACATAAAGAACAGGTGATGGATATTGTAGGGCAGCAAAGTCAGGAGGCAACTGCCTGGATGCCATCACTGACAATATAATTTGCAATGCAAAAAGGAATAGTGGAACCCTCAGACCTGGAGGTGCTAGCACAGCTGCACATTTCCTTGTTGCTCCTCACCAATGGAGGACCAAAGCCTAAAATATGTTTAATATCACTTGCCATAGTGTGTATTTCTATAAGTATACAAATTATATATGTGTGTGTATGCATGTGTATTTGTACATACGTATGCAAACAACCAGAAAAAACTATTCAACCCTCCTCATGTGTTCAGATTTCCTTGGGAAAACTGAAAAGATGAAACATTGTGGTTCTAGGTTTGAATAAATAACATCACAAATATAATCAATGAATTCACATACGTAGAATTTAAATCCAGCCGGCCACCCTTCTTACACCAAATATTAAAGAAGAAATACGACAATAAAGACTGCAGGGCAGGGATGGAGTCAAGAGAGACCTGAATGGGAATTCTGCCCCCAACAGCCCACAGAGCTGTGCCAAGCAATCCCTCAGAGCCTCTTTTTCCTTACCTGTAAAAACAAGGAGGGTGGGGCAGCTAGGTGGCGCAGTGGATAGAGAACTGGCCCTGAAGTCAGGAGGACCTGAGTTCAAATCCAGCCTCAGACCAAACACTTGACACTTACTAGCTATGTGACCCTGGGCAAGTCACTTAACCCCAATTGCCTAAAAAAAAAATATAAAAAAAAACAAGGAGGTAAATAATTTCACTAAAGATATCACAAGGTTGTTGTGAAGTAAGTACTCAGGAAATATTAAAAACACTCTTTAAATGTGAGTTGCTATCATAGCTTTTGCCCACACCAAATGCAAAAACCTATGAATTCACTTCTCTGGACTCCTCCATGATTTTTATTGTTTGGTTTTGGTTTTTGTTTTTTTTTTTTTTTTTGGAGGCAATTAGGGTTAAATGACTTGCCCAGAATCACACAGCTGAGGCCAAATTTGAATTTCAGTCCTGAATCCAGGGCCAGCCCTCTATTCACTGCATCACCTAGCTGCCCCTGACTCTCCAGTTTTACAAACAAACATTCTGATATACATAAAAGAAGAAAGAGGATGATATATGAGAAACTTTGAACTTCTGTTGTTTTTTAAGTGTATTATGCAAGCATACACTATGCTAGGTTTCAATGAATCTCTAATATTATAGGAAGAAAACATTCTACTGTATTTGATATCATTTAATTGTCATGCAGGTTATATCTTCAGGAATCTGTGGCTCAGAAAATCACATCCTAGATGGAACATTTCCTGTACCTTTACCTGCAATTTTGGGACACAAAGGAGCTGGGGTAGTAGAAAGCATTGGAGAAGGAGTGAGCAGTGTGAAACCAGGTGAAGCTGGGAGTCAAAATGATGTTTGATGTCAAAAGCTCCTCCTTTCCACCCTCCTACAAAAATGATCAAATTCTCTGCAAAAAAGAAGGAAATTTTGAATTAGATTAACATAAGTATAAGTAGATATAAGATTTAGATCAGGAGGAGACTTAGTGAGATTATTCGGATTGCAGTGTCCTCTGCTGAATTGTAAAACTCCCCAAGTGTAAAAAGTGTCTCTCAACTTTGGTGTCACACTCAAAAAATATATCTTGACTAGTACCAAGCTAAATGTAATTTCTTGAGACGCAAAGACTGTTCCCCTCAAACAGAACCTGGCAAAGGGAAATCTGTCTGTGGCTGTATAGGTGAAAAATGGTGGAAAACATGACAGAGGATTTTAAATGGGCCTTGGATTTGAACCGTAAAAGTGGGGGCTGGCACCCAGATCATAGCAGCCTCTGCAATTCCCCCTTCTGGATGCCTTGGCAAGACTGTGGACAGTCAGGAAACACATAAAGGTAGCCGTGGATAGAGTGCTAGACCCAGAGTCAGGAATACCGGAGTTCTAATCCAGTTTCAGACATTAGCTATGTGACTGAGCAAGCCACTTAACCTTTGCCTGCCTCAGTTTCCTCAATTGCAAAATGGGAAGGATAATAGACCTATATCACAGGTTTGATGTGAAGAGATAAAATTTGTCAAGTGCTTAGCACAGTGCCTGCAATATAGGTAAGTGCTTAATCATTGCTTGTTCCCTTCCCTTCCCCATATGCCCCATGGAGGGAAAGCCCTTGAGACTTACCTGGTATTAAAAGGTCAAAACAAAATCAAATGCATGCACTTGAAGCAAAAGAGAAGAAGTAGAGATTTCCTAGCAGAACTGTCATCTCCTATGAGTGAAACCTTGATTAGTGCCACCCTGTCCAGCCAACATCTGGTGACCACCTTCAGGAAAAGGCAAGAGAGTTTTCCAGGTCCTCCCTGTTCCAGCACCAGAGGGCTTTCCAGGATGTCCTCCTAGCTCTCTGCACCTGATCTTGGCTTTTAGAATGGCTGGTACCCCTCAGCTCTACCCCTCTGCGGTTGAGAGTCAATGTTTTAACATTACCCATCGGTTGGTTCTATCCCTGTCAAATCTCAGGGCCCGGGGTCTCCATCCCACTGACTTCTCTCTTTTGTTCATACATCCCTTCGTCCCAAATCAAATCATGGAAGGTCAATTCCAGCTTCAAATAGGGAGCAGGCAGTGCTCTCCTTTAGGCTTCTCACTCATAAATCCACCTTATGAGCTTCTACTGATGAAAGACCAGAACTCAGGACTGTTTAGTTGTACTCTCACTAGAAGGCACCACCAGGCATTTACCAAGCTTACCAGCTTCCAGCATGGTTTGTCTCCTGGAGATTGTCTTCCACAAGAGAAGAGAAGGCACAATATTCAGAAAGAGACACTGACAAGTAGCATTAAATGCTGCAGACATGTCAAGAAAGATAAGGTTTAAGAACAAGTCATTGGATTGGGCTAATAAGGGAACAATTCAGGGGAGGCAGGTTCAGCTAAGTGATGAGTTTGGGAGCCAAATCGTAAGGAGTTGAAAAGTGAGCAACATAGAAAGGAAGTGGAGGCCAAAGAATATAAACAACTTTTGAGTTTGTCTGTGAAAGGACAGAAAGGTAAAGAACGGTTTGAGGAGATGGTAGAGTCAAGCAAGGGCTTATTAAAGATGGGGAAGATGTAGCCATGTTTAGTAGGAAACAAGCCAGTGGATGAGGAAAGACTGAAGATTAGAGAGTGAGGGTCTAGGAGTGATTTTAAGGAAAGCAATCGGGGGACACAAGACTGAATAAAGTGAAGGGTACAAATAGAGAGATAACAAGATCACTTCAATTTTTTTAACTTTTAAATGTTTTTTTTATTCTAAACTTAACAATATCAATAAACACAAATATGTTGATATACATATAAGAACAAAAAACAGGATTGTATAAGACACTAAACATCTGTTTATATAGTTTTTTTTAACTTCATTAGCAAGTAGTAGAAAAGAGGGTGCTCGAAGCCATTAGCCTCTAGCTTGAAAGTTTTTCAGGGAGGGTAAGACACGTACTGTCATCATTCTTGAGCATGTAGTGGCTTTGTAAGGCTTAAAATGCCAGAGAATTGATGTCCATAAAGCCAACAGCTTCTCTTACATTCATATAGTCATTTACATGGCCCAGGTCAAGAGGAAAATTGCTTCATTCTAGCAAAGCCCATCTGCATTGTTAATGCTAGTTATGTGACAAGCTTTCATTCCAACTTTGTGAGTTATTTTTTATGAAATCCAATGTACACAATGTGCTGGATTATCTCCACATTTTATTTTGATGATATAAAATTTTTCTCTCCACTCATAGTGATAATGATTTTCTTCTGTTTTCCTCCCTTAGGAGATAAAGTCTTAACGCTCCCTATACCTCAATGCCGAAAATGTGATTCCTGTTTGCATGCCAAGGGCAACTGTTGCCTGAAGGAAGAGTAAGTGCTTTCCTATCACTAATTCTGCTTATGTCTTTACCCAGAGCTGATGGATCTCATGTCTCTTTGTGTGGACCTCTGTCTGTCTGTCTCCATGGACTAGCGCCATTTCTCCTGTTGGATTGATGCTTGATGGTACCACCAGATTTACATGCAGAGGGAGGAAAGTGCATAACTTATTTAGAACAAGCACATTGACTGAATACACCGTGATGCATGAGATATCAGTGGCAAAAATTGATGATGCTGCACCCCTGGAGAAAGTCTGCGTATTAGCCTGTGGATTCCCCACAGGCTATGGAGCTGCTGTTAACACAGCACAGGTGAGAATGTGTAGACAAGCAGTCTGGTGAATGAGGCTTTCCCTAATCGATGCCAAGACATGCCTGAACCAATCAAAATGGTCGAGCAAGTAGCCTTGTAAAGACTCGGGCAGACAGCGAAGCAGCTTTTTTCTGTTCTGATGATGCAGGCACGCTCAGCACCGAAATCTCACGAGGAATTTTGTACTCTTCATGCACAGGTTACCCCCGGTTCCACCTGTGTGGTCTTCGGGCTTGGAGGTGTTCGCTCTGCAGTTGTTCTGGGGTGCAGAGCAGCCGGTGCTGCCAGGATCATTGGCATTGACATCAATGAAGGGAAATTGGCCAGGGCTAAAGCTCTTGGGGTCACTGATTGCCTTAATCCTCAAAACTTCACGAAGCCCATCCAGCAGGTGGTGGTGGAAATGACTGGGCTCGGTGCTGACTTTACCTTTGAGGCTATTGGCACTATCGAGATGACGGTATGTTATCTGTGGGCACAGACAGAAGGTGTTTTACGTCAGCAAGTAGCCACATATTAAACTAGTTTAACTTTACCAAAAAGAACTTAAAAGAAAAAAGATAACTAACACACATGGAGAGTTACCTTACCTTCAGTGTTCTGTGTGAATGGAATGTTTTTAAATCATTGTAGCCATGCACTGTATCCACTGATACAGCATTACACTATACACAGATGCAATGTAAGGAGGACCTCAAAAGGAGGAAGAGCATAGACCTCCAGCCTCTTCCCCCTCCCCGAAATGAGAGGTATAATCCCTTTCCCCCTCTGCACACCTTCAGTCTCTGTGGAGGGCAAGAGGATTAGTTCATAGCTTAATTCAGTTCCCAGAGAGCAAAGTCCCAGTTCTAAGTTCAAAACCTCACTAAGGCTTGAGTCCTAGGCACCCTGGTTTGTCAGGGTTTCCATGCGTGGCTGGCTGGCTACGTTACCCCACCTGCCATCCTGGCTCCAAGGTCACCATGACTCACTCGCAGTTCCATGAGGATCACCTCCAGCACCTGAAATTGAGGACAAACAACAGAACAGAAACAAATACCACCTGGACCGCTTCTTGGAGCCAGGGTCAAAGAGAGGGAACAGGGGAAGGATTTGCCTTTACCTCTTACCAGTTCAGTTTATGGCACCCATGTCGGGCACAAAACATAAGGGTAACTGAAGAGTGTAGATGAAAAGATGATGGAAAAGAGAAGGAACATTTCAGTCTCACCAGTTTTAGACACAGACAGCCAATCAATGGAAGGCAAACTGGACATGCTCAAATAGCCTGGACTACAACAAAAATCTCTCAGTCTCTCTCTCTCTCTCTCTCTCTCTCTCTCTCTCTCTCTCTCTCTCTCTCTCTCTCTCTCTCTCTCTCTCTCTCTCTCCCTTTCTCATGTTCTTTTATTTTCTTCTCTATTTCCATCACTATCACTTTTTCTCTCTGTAAGTCTCCATATCTTGGCTTCTCTTTCCCTCTCTTCCTGATCCCTACTCTTGAGAGCAAGAAATGTAACAGAAGAAAGAAGGAAAGAATACTAAAGGGATGGGAATGGAGAGATGTGAAATGGAGAAAGAAACCAAACAAGCAAATGGAAAAAGTAGTAGAGGGAAGGAAGAGAAGTAGAAGAAAGGGTAAAGAGGGGATAGACATGAGAGGCATAAACTACAATAAATATTACATCATATGCCTCAAGCAAATTTGGATACAGAAAAATGAAAACATACTCTATTTAAAGATATATTTTCTTCAGCATAATTAGAATGAGGGATAAAGCACAGGAGAAGGGAAGGAAGGTGACAGGAGATGGCCCAAGACAAACCACCTCGTTTGACACATTACCCCAATCAAGAAATGGAAACTTATGGTCTACTCTAACTCATATGGCTCAAATGAATATGACCTATACTTAAATTAGGCATTAATTCTACTGGTTCTCATGGTAGAAACCCTATGTGACCCAGAAATATGACTGAAAGATTCACAACTGTATTGTTAACCCTAGGTTGCTGCTCTGGAATCCTGTAACCTGAGTTATGGGGTCTGTGTTATTCTTGGAGTATCACCAGTAAAATCCCACCTCCCTTTAGACCCATTGAAGCTAGTGTCTGGCCAGACCCTGAAAGGGTGCTTGTTAGGAGGTAGGAAGAAAACTTGAAATGACCAGCGGTTTTAACTCTAACAAATCCGTTTGAGTTTTGCAAAAACATTGGGAATACATATACAGAAGCTAACATGTATAGAATAAGAGACAGGAATGAAGTCAATCAATAGGTTAGTCAAATAATAAGCATTTATTAAGCATCTACTATGTACCAGGTATGTACTAGGTACTTGTACAGAGAAAGTTGAAAGTATTTCTACTCCCCTTATAAAGGTAGGGGGGTGTGCTGGAACCAGCTCAAGCCAGCTCACAAAAGCTGATTCCTAAATGTTCAGCGTAAGTATTTACACCTCTGAAATTGGTAAATTGTACAAATCAGGACATTGTATTACTTTGTTATCTAGGCTTAAGAAAGTGATACAGGAAATGTTAAATATGCAGATTAAACTTAAAATTGTGTCCTATGTACATTTTTGCAGAGTCAGTTATTCAACATTAATGAGCATATCCCTAACTAAAGGGTATTTTTACAGCTATAGTAGCAGATTTATAAATATTGATTCATACTGGATGCAACTTAAAACTAGCCCATTGTCATCCCAGGCTGTTATCAGCAAACAAATCAATCTAAAACATTTGTTCCAGAGGGCAAAAAAGTTAGGATCTTAACCAAGAATAATCTACCCATCAAAACTGAGTGTAATCCTTCAGAGGAAAAAAAAAAGGATATTTAATTAAATAGAGGAATTCCAATGATTCCTGGTAAAAAGGCCAGAGATGAAGAGAATATCTGACATTCAAATACAAGACTCAAAAGAAGCATGAAAAGGTAAACAGGTAAGCAAAATCATAAAGGACTCAGTGAATTTAAACTGTTTCTATTCCTATGTTGGAAGACACACACACACACCCCTAATTTTTTAAATAGTATTTTATTTTTCAATTACATGTAACAACAATTTTAACATTCTTTTTTTTTAATTTTGAGTTCCAAATTTTTCTCCCTCCCTCCATTCCCCCTTCCCTAAAACAGTAAGCAATCTGATAGAGGTTATATGATTGATTTGATATAGGTTATATGATATAGGATTATATGATGGTAAAACATATTTCCATATTAGTCATGTTGTGAAAGAAGAAATAGACTGACAAAAAAAACACGCACACACGCGCACACACACACACACAAAATAAAGTGAAAATAATATGTTTCAATCTTCATTCAGAATCCATTGGCTCTTTCTCTGGATGTGGATAGAATTTTCCATCACAAACCCTTTCTATATATATAAAATTTCTAAGACCATATCCAAGTGGAATGAAGGAAAGATGTTATCTGAGCTAGATCTTGGAGGATTGCAAAAATTTTCAACAACAGGGGATGATAAGGACCTTCTAGTCATATAGAACAAAGACATGGGGTAAGAAAATACAGTATGAAAAGAAAGGACAGTGAGGGGTCCAGTTTGGCAGAGTGGATGTCTAAGGGCTCTGTGATGTGATGGATAGAACACTGGATTCACAAACCCTGCCTCAGACACTTCTGAACTGTATGACCCTGGGCAAGTCATTAACTTCTTTTGGTCTCAGTTTCTTCATCTGTAAAATGAGAAGATTGGACTCAGTTGGTCTGTTCCAGATCTCAAATCTACCACCCTATAATTTATGATCTTAAGTAATGAGAAGTAAACCCAGAACTGTGTAGGGCCTTGAATGACCTGCTCAAACATTTGATCTTTAACATAAATAGGTAACAGGAAGCCATTCAAAGTCTCTGAGAAGAGGAGTAAAATGAACATTCATAGGAATATGAATAGAAAACCATGACCAGGAGACCCATGCACTCCATCTACTGTTTCTCCTAGGCAATCAATTAGCTGCTTGTGTTGTCTGGAGAAGATGGAAGGAAGACTCTTACAATGCTGTCAACTGATATGTGATGGATATTTCTGTGTTCATTGCTTGAATGGTACATTGCAATTTACCTGATTCATTGAGTTGGCCTCATTGTTCAAGCACCATCATTGTCTATTTTTTTTTCTTTCATAGAGTATAAAAGCAGAGACCAAATTCCTTTATTAGTGGATGATTACATGAAAAAGAAAATCGATGCGGAGTCACTGATAACCCATAACCTGCCTTTTGTCAAAATTAATGAAGGGTTTGAACTTCTCTGATCAGGAAGATGGAGAGAGCTTTGTTTGTTCATCTTTGTGTCCAATATTTACATGGGGAAAAATATCACAGTTAAAATGAGGAATCCCATCTCACAAAAGTTAGATATAGATGGAGAAGGTGGCCCTGAGGAAGGAATCAGGCAATGTGGCATCCACCACCAACGTCACTACTCCTTAGCCGTGTGATGTAACAAAGCCTGTCCTTTCATCTCTCTGTACCTCAGTTTCATCATTTAATATAAAGTGGACATAATAATACCTATCTGACCTACTTCAGAAGGTTCTTGAGAAGATCAAATGAGTAAATAAAAATGAAAACAAAATTAAACATGCTCTTTAAGTTCCTAATATTATTAATAGTGGTGTTGCAAGTCTAAAAGTATAAGTAAACATGTTGAAATTACAATTTAAATATGTTATAGTGTGCAATGTTAGGATTGTCTCAGCTCTGAAATTATTTGCAGGCTGTGTGCAGAGAGAGGGGATTGGAAAGGTAGGGTGGCACTAGATTGTGGAAGATCTTAAATGCCAGGCAGAGAAGTATGGACTTTATTCAGCAGGCAATAGTGAGCCAAAGATTTAGGAGAAGAGAAGTTATGTGAGCAGACTTATGCATTACTCAGGAGACTTATTGGAGAGTAGATTGGATGGAGAAGTGAATCTTGATTCCTGCCTGAATTCCCTGGGTTCACATTCAAAGAGTTTTTGTTTCGTCTTTTCTGAAATGTGCTGGGAATCTTTCAATCATACATACATGGATGAAGGATAGGTAGGCTGTCCAGAAGAGGTGAGAAGGGGTATATCCCAGACAGAGGGAATCAAAAAAGCAAAGGGTAGAATGTATTCAGGAAATGAGAAGTAGTTAAATTTGGTTGGAGTATAGAACACCTGAAGGATGGTGGTAAAAAATATGATTGGAAGGACAGGTCAGGGCCAAAAAATGAGAGGTGTTGATTATCAAACAAAGCAGATTGGGCTTTTATAAGGAAAGTCCCTAAATATAAAAAAGTAAGATAATAATTCATATTTCTCATTGTAACAAAAACATCTTACCTTTTGGAAAGAACTGTGGCCCTATCTTAAGAACTCTTTTCTCCAAATCTTATGCAGTCCCATCTATTCGTTATTTTATGCAAGGGACCTACAGCATCCATGGAAAGCCTTCCTGTGGGCTACATAGGTTTACCAAAATCAGTTGACATCCATGTTATTGAGTTTATGGCTAAGCCATGGTGATGGCTTCCATCCCAATGGAAGCAAGCTATTTTTTTTTTGGTCCAGGTCTACTGATTTCATCATTTTAGGGAATCTCTAGAGTGGCACAGACACACAGCTTACTGACTCATCAGTAACTTATATTGTGTTGCTTAGGCCACTGAGTGGTTAGTTAAATGGTTTGCCCACGATCACATAGCTAGAATGTGTCCAAGGCAGCAAAGAATCCTTTAATCTCAGAGGGAAGGCATTAGCATTAAAGGCGTCCCAGAAAGGCTTCTTTCAGACAGTGAGATTTTAGCTGGGAATTTTAATTTGAAGGGAGCCAGGGAAGCCAGGAGGAAGAGATGAGAAAAGAGAACTCCAGAGTTGGAGGACAACCAGTGAAAAATCGTAGCATTGGGAGATGGGATGTCTTATAAGAGGAACAACAAAGAAGCCAGAGTTTCTGGACTATAGAGTATGTGGGAGGGAACACAGTATAAGAAGACTAGCAAGGTAGGAAGGGGACAGGTTATGTAATCCTTTAAATGCCAGAGGATTTTCCATTTGATCCTAGAGGTGATAGGACGCCATTAGGGTTTATTGAATAGAGAAGTGATATGATCAGACCTGCATTTTGTGAATATCACTTTGATAGCTGAAAGGAGAATGGACCAGTGTGGGAAAATACTGGATGAAGGCAGGTCAACCAGAGGCTATTGCAACAGTCCAGGCAAGAGGTGATGAGGGCAAGAATATACAAGAAGTGTCACAAAGGTAGAATTGACAGGATTTGGCAACAGATTGGATGGAGGAGGTTGATGGGAGGGAGAGGAGGCAAGGGTGATGTCTACACGTACAAGCCTGGGGAACCAAAAGGATGATGGTATCCTCAACAGTAATAGAGAAGTTGGGAAGAGGAGGGAAATTTGGAAGGAAAGATACTGAGTTCAGTTTGGGATGTGTTAAAATGCCCAGGATATCCAATTTGAAGTGCCCAATAGGCAACTGGAGGGGCAGCAAGGTGGAGCAGTGGATAGAGCACTGGCCCTGGAGTCAGGAGGACCTGAGTTCAAATCTGGCCTCTAACCAAACACTTGACACTTACTAGCTGTGTGACCCTGGGCAAGTCACTTAACCCCAATTGCCCCCCAAAAAAAATATTTGCTCAATAGACAATTGGAGATTCAAGACTGCAGGTGTGAAGAGAGGTTAGGGCTGGAGAAGAAGGTCTGAGAATCATCTGCTTAGAGCCAATGACTTGAACCCAGGTCTTTCTGATTCCAAGATCTGCCCTCAAGCCACTGTGCCATATTGCGTCTTATGGACTAATTGGAATCTTACCATTTCAAACCTCTCAGATCATATAGTCTAATTCCTTTATTTTGCATGAAGTGAGTTGTAGTAGAAAAAGTGTTGAAGAGAGAAACAGAAGATCTGGGTTCAAATCCTGGCTTAAACATTTCCTGGCTATGTGATGTGGACAAGTCATTATAATGTCTCTGGGCCTAAATTTCATCATTAGGAAAATGGGGAGAGTACAAATTCTATCTACTTCACAGGGTAAAGAAAAATCTTTGAAAACCTTAATGTGTACATGAGTTGCTAATATTTTTACTAAGTGAAGATGAAACTTGCACCCAAAGAGATTCAGTAAGCCACCCAAAGGCACACAGATAGCTACCGGTGGAAGAAGCCAGGTCTCAGTCCAGTCCTCTTTCCATGCTGCCATGTCTGGCTTCCTCTGGCGCCCAGTTACACACGGTGACTCTAGACTGAGCCAGCTATCCAAATGTGAGCCCTTTGTCACAAGGGAAACTGTGTAGAGAGGGCAGAGGCGTCATTCCCAGGATTCAGAGAAAAAGCATCACTTGTGCCTCAGTGACAGTGACCCAGGAGCATCACCACGCAGTGGGAAGGGCATGACATCCGAAATTCAATGGCAAAAGGAGGCAGGACATTGCTTCTACTCATAGGGTCCTGAGGCTTCCTTCCACATTGTTCCATTCTCCCTGGAATGTTATTATGTTCTGAGACCTAGGCGGCGTGTTAGAGATGTTCTTCAAAACAACATAGGTACTAGGAAGTTCCCCCAAACCACATTCTTCTATGATGTATTATTGATCTATGCAGAGAAACATCAGCGGAAAGAGGATGAAAAGGGCCTTTGATTCTTTCCTCCATTGTTAAAGTCAGAAAACCAAGTTAGGTCCAAGGCATTTGCTGTTCCCCTTCAGGTGGCAATATTTGCTGGAGATAGACCAGAAATGAAAACAGAGAACAGGGGCTGTACAGACCACTTAAAGATTACTTTTTAATGTAATTTTTATTTTATTTTATTTCTAATAAAAAGAATTCATTTTCTCTCCTTCCCACTCAATTGAAAAGGAAACAAAAACAAAACCTTTGTAACAAAAAATGTATAGGTAAGGAAAACAAAAACCCAAATTGGCCATGTCCAGAAACATATGGCTAACCAATTGTTTTTGCACTTCTGTATTTCCGCATTCACTGTGTCCTGTTGTTTCGAGATCCTACTGGATGAAAGGGGAATGGAAATCCAAGGAGACATCCTTCTTTGCTGCAGTATCATCCTCTCAGGACTTTCTATAGATCAGGACTGGGGTTAGAAACTTGGTGCCTCCTAGAACAATAGGAAATGGAATAAACTACTTCCGGATATTATGCCATTAAAAGATATTTGTCTTAAATCTGTGTGTAAAGATGACTCATGGATTAAAAGTGAAAAACATGGGAGTTTAGTTCTTGAACTTCTGTCTAATTATATCAACATAGGTTGATACTCTCCTATAAAGAAAGGTTCCTACCAATTTAAAAATACTAAGGCCCATCCTTAAGTTAGTGTGAATTCTGAGCTATCTCATAAGGACTATGCTTGTATTTTCAGATCTTGACGGGGTAATTTTAAGCCTAAAGCAAAGCTTTTGCTCCTCACCCTTTTGCTGAAGTGTAACAAGAAGCCTGTGCTCTTATATCAAATTGCTTGCTGTCTTGGGGAGGGAAGAGGGAAGAGAGGGAGAGAGAAAAATTTGGAACTCAAAGTTTTTAAAAATGAATGTTGAAAACTATCTTTACATGTAATTTGGGGGAAAAAATAAAGTACTATTAAGAAAAAAAAAGAATCCTGCGTTCTCACTTCTCTAATGACACTGCCTGCCAATCCAGATTCTGAGGACTTTCCAAAAGTTGCAGCTGGCTGGTCTATCTCCCCAATCTCATCCTATGGGAAGGAAGCAGAGACCTGCCTCTTTTCCCCTCTGGTATGGAGGAGTTTCTCTAAAGTCCTAGCCCAGTTACTCCTAGTAAGATGGTGGTATCTCTGCTAGCATTTCAAAAAGTCTCACTTATCAGCAAGACATTTCTGGGACAACTTGTCCACCCAGTGCTCACCCAGGCTGTGCATCTTTCCCCTGTCTGTCACAGGGTGGGATTTCACCACTGCCATGACATTCCAGCTCCCACCTTTGTACAGGCTTTCCCCATTCCCTCCATACTACTGGTTCTTAGAATCCCTTGTTCCCTTCAAGGCTCACTTCAAACAGTACTGCCTTCTGGAAGCCTTTCCTCATTACCCCATTTGCTAGCGCCTACCCCCCACTTCATCAAGGTACACTTATTCTGCATGTATTCAGTATTTCCTTATCTTTGACCAGATTGTATCCCAAAGTTGAATATAAGCTCCTTGAGAGCAGAATTATCTCATTTTTACAATATGTATGTTCAGGGGCCCATCATAGTGTCTCAGCACTTCATAAATGATGGTTGGTTGACTATTTTTAGGA